GCACAGAGAAGATGAGTGCCAGATAGTGACCTGTCTGCCCTCACCATGTTGGCTGCAACAACCTAAACAATAGATAATATGCCATTAGAAGTATAGCTTCGTAATATATGAGGAATACTATTGTATACCAAGTAGTACTTGCAGCTTCATGCTAAAACACAAGTATTTAACTGTTAAACTCACCTTAACCGCAAGTTCATGAAGAGACCTTGAAATGGCAGAAGAGAGAGCAACTGCACGGAGAGCATTAACATAGAAGTAGGAACTCTCAGGAGGAGTTGAAAGCAATAAACTAACTGCAGCTTCAAGGTTTCCAACAGACACAAGCCTGGCAGCAGATAAGGAAGAGCATAATGAATTCAACAAAGACCATAACTGAAAATGTTAGGATGAAATAACATTCCCACTCAAACTAGGGGGGTGGGGGAGGAAATTATACTCTGTTCTCAGTCACGTTAGCACTTACAACAGGATTAACAAATTTGAAATCACAAAAAACTATATGGATCGAGTACTAAACTAATACTTCTCCGGTCCTAAATATAAGACCCATTTTATAGTGTAATTTGCACTACAAAATGAGTCTTATATTTAGAACCAGAGGAATACTAAACTTGGGATTATTCATAATTAAGTTAACAGTTTAGTCCTTGAACGGTCAGTCCCCTATCAATTTTGTCCCGTGTAGACAAACATTTAATAAAATCTCCAATTGTTTGCACCAATAAAGGTTGTTCCTCCATTAACCAATGTCACAGTCACTTGAAACACTAGCTGACATGGCAAAAACAAGATTCCATGTAGCCATTAAATGATCCAGACTTGCTCAACTTCCATTTTCTTTATAGTTGCATCATTTTGCCTGTTTTCTAAACCCTGATGATGGTGGAAGAAAATAAATTAAAATTATAGATAAATATAAAGAACAATATTCTAGATAAGATTATGTTTTAAATTGTTTTGTTTTATTATTTTTAGGATTTTATAATTTAACTAATCATTAGGGTCAGAATATTTTCTTCTGATTTTCCTATTTTCTTGTATTTTAAAATTTTCTATTATTACCTTGCATTTTTTAATGCATCCTATGGGCCCTATACATGCCTTTAGTAACTATGATAAGCCATGAACAACGCATAATTCCACTATTCATAACCCACGAAATATGTAATCCTCTTGGGCTCCTTCTAATATTTTTTACCCTTTCAACTTTTTTTTTTATTATTCCTTCAATCTTTTTCAACACATTTCAATAAGATTTAAATGCTAAACTTCCAAAAACTTTTAATATCTATCCCAGGCATTACATGAGGGAAAGATATCTAGTTCACTAATATAAGCTTTATTGGCCATGTCTTTCCTATAATGTCAATGTGGTATTAAAGCCTAGTTCCCGCAGTTCCAAGGACATCTCCAATTCTGAAAGTATATCGATTTCTAACATTTTCAGGGTTGATATAAGCAGACGTCAATGTGACAATGCTTCTAGTGCCATGAATCAGGATTCCAATCTGTCAGTGAAAACTATCTTCTACATCACCTTGCTTCACAAGATGATAGAAATCAAGCAAACCAATATCATTTTGGAAGAAATGACATAGGGGCAGATCCTGGTCGTCAGCTAACAGTATGCCAACTACTCTGCCCACGCAGGAGCATGTAGGTCAAGAAAAATTAATTGGGGTGCCAAATTGAAAGCTTGTCCTTTGGAGGACCAAAATGAGAGGAGAGATCTTTTGTAAGCCAAATCATTAATCCACTCCTCGTTTAAGACTCATTTGACACACAGAATCAGAAGCTGTTGCACCAAAAATAGAACAAAAAAGATTTGAGGATAAAAATACCCCTTTTGTCCCCACCCTACAGAAAGGAAATAAAGAAGATAAAACTGCTGGATAATGGTTATTGATTACTTGGGTCTAATATACATCACGAGGGGGGGAAAAAAAAAAGCTGAAGAAATGGCAGTCCGATTTCATAGGCCAAGACAAGCAGGCCCTATTAGTGTTTGTGTCGCTAATAAAACCATTATAGAGCAACTGATATAAGGATGTGAAATCAATAAATAATAGCTTTATAACTATTTCTTCATATACAAGTGCTTTTAATAATCATGTGTAATTGTAGTACAACTAAGGATCTTGACATTAGGACTTTCCGCAATTGATCATACTGAATTGTATAGTTCTAATAAAAGAAAGATGGGTATACTTAGTGTAGTTCTAATAAAAGAAAGATGGGTATACTTACTCATGAACACGGTTCTGTATAGCCTCTTCACCCTCTAACTTTTTATGCCAAGAAATACGTTCACAAGCAATTTCCCTCAATTCTTCTGGGTCAAAAGTTATCAACTTCAGATGACCTTGACTCTGCTAATTAATATGCGCAAGTCACTTCAATGAATATTGGCATCGATACAAATGCTCAGCTACTCAAGAAGCTAATGTAATGTGAGATACTACAAGGTATGGCACAAATACATTATCACAGGATACTAAAATATATCTTACCAATGTATCTCGCCTCATTTCTTCAGTTGAATATTTCTTTGACGATAAACCAGTCAGTAGAGATGTCTCATCAACTTCTGGAATTGACATCGCTACTGGATCTTTTGTTGGAGGCTTTTTCAATAACTTATTTATCAAATGGTCGAGTGCCAAAGGCAGTTGTAGCCAGAACAAAGCTTCAGAGAATTCACCAAATAGTGCGGCTGCATAGGCAAGTCTCATGGCATAGCCACTATTTAACACACTAGCGTACCTTGTTGACCTCTCATCATCAAGTATGCACCCTAGGAAAGTGGGATGGGAAAAGAAAAGAAGAAAAATAAAAAGAATTGGTGCAGATTATAACCCAAACATTGTCAAGAATCAAGACCATAATAAGAAACTCCACAAATGAATATAGAGACCTTCTCTTCGGTAAGGTTCCAACACTTTTAGAAGCATCTCGGGTACCACAGGGTCACCTAGAGATGGAAGGTCATTCATGTGTGCGCGAAGATCCTCAGTGGATGAAGGAGTTTCCTGGATTAAATGAGGCCTTTTCTCCGTAGTTGTACTGCAAGTATTGAACCAAGAAGGTTTAACACCCAATTGCAAGATCATACGCAATGCCTGAAGCAACATCAGTCATTATTCAGTAGAGCACAATAAATAGTCAATTCTCCAGATACAGATCTTGTAAACGGAAAACAGCATGGACATATCACCACTAAATCAAATAAGACACCTTACTGTTTTTTTATTATACTTGCAAAATGCCATATAAACCAAAAATTGTCCATCCCACTAAGGTTCAGGGTAAGAAAATATTGATAACTTGATGTTGTCATGTGATATTAATTGGATTCAATAGGATTAACTCGTCGCCAGTTGCTAGTTTTGTTTGGTAGCCTTCATTCCTTGTAGACAATAAATAAGGAATGAGTTCAGTGGGCACTGTTGATTTGAGTGTTACATTTTCTCTATAACATAAGGTAAGGATGCATAATGTCTCCCAGGAGATACCAAAGTGAATGTTGAAATTACAGCCCAGAAAAAGAGTGGAGATAAAATTAAGCATGACAGTTATGGTTCAGGAATTTGGGCAGCAAGTGACCCTCTATAAAACCTTTACAAACTTTTTACACAGAAAACCTAGATAGAATCAGGCAAATAAAATTGCATTATAGTCATATTAACATTAAGAACAAAGCCTGAAACTGACTCCAATGTTAATATAAATAGATGAGAACCGTTGAATTTAAAACTAATTCATTTCAGGAAGCTCTTAGAAGATCAAATGAAAACACATTAGAGTGATTCTACTTTAAAGCATTTCCATTTTACTACTTCAATGTTTCGGTGGCATCTACATCCCTCACGCTAAAACTGATGTTAGGATGGTACTGTCATCCATATAATGCAGAGACCCATTACATAAAAATTCAGAATGGTAAACAATTTCAACACATTTTGATATTAATTCAGTAGATTAAAGCCTGCATAGTACCAGGGCATGTGGCGTAGGAAGTAGTATGGGACAACACAAAGGCACAGGCCGGAATCTTTCCTTTATAGCTCTGGGCTGGGGCACATAACCAACTCTTTTATCATTTCTGCATGAAAGAAGCATGTACAAATTAGTAATCACAAGGTTCGATAAGAAAACATTGGTATCTGAGGAAGCTCGACTGCTTAAAAACACTCATCTTAAACCGTTATTAAATCAAGATCAAACCAGCAAGTTTAATAGCAGCACAAGTGTCATGTTGAACCAGTTAAAATAACCTTTCATGTCAGCCAATTAATTTAGGAAGGCTCTCAGATTCAACCTCCCATCAAACTTGGGGGGTTTTACTGTAACCTCCTTGGTTAAATCATCACTGTCACATTGCCTAAAGCTTCCCTAACATTCTGAGGAGGTGATTCATATTTGTCTATCATAGTGTTTTACCAAGTCTCGGTAATCCCACAGATCATATATGCTCAACTTGATGCTTAACAGGCCTAATATAGCTAACAGTAGCACCTACTGAGGATTGATTATTCCCCATGTTTGGTGTTCCCAACTTGTTATGGGAAGGAACACGTCCATCTCTTGGATTAGTTTCTTCCTTACCCCTAGGGTTCTCAAGTAAACCATCTACATTCATGCCTATATACTGCCTACTTGACAACTGAAATACATCCATAACTCTTTTATGCTGGCCTCTCTATGAATTTAAGGCTTCAAACTTTCTAGCATCATATTCTTTGTTAGCCTTCATAAACTCTTCAAGGTTAGTTTAGGTGTCTTCAGTGTTTCCGGCCATGGAAAATTTAAGGGTGTTGAGTTTGTGGTCCAGTAAGGCCAGCTTCATGTATAGATTAGGCAAGCATAGTCGGGTTAAACATTGTCACTGCTTTCTATATATCCTTTTGAAGACCAATGATAGAACATCTAATTGCCACATCTACCTGCAAATCCACTTCTAACAATAGCTCATCAAACTGCACCCCATATTCCTCCATTAAACCTTCCTAATGTGAATTTTAAATTTGCCAAATCAAATTTATTTGTTGACCCTCCATGCATTTTGCCCCTGCTTCATGGAAATACTCATTTCAAGACATGTTTCTGATCCTCTCTCCCTTCATAGAATCCAAATGCCACCAAAGAGCTCTCTTCTCCAAGTGGACACTAAGGAGCCTTGTATACTATAATGGACCCCTCATCCACCTCAAAAAACTGCTTACACCTATAAGCACATCCTCTAAAATCAACTTAACCCTATCGTGTTTAGTTAGAGCATTATATAATGATCAAATTGGTGATGTGAGAGCAACCTAAGCTAAGACATCACTAGTGCAACTAGAAAACAATTGTTACTCACATTGCTCCAACATCTCTGTTTTGTCCTTGTCTCATCAAAGCATTTGTCCATATGAAACCAAAAGACTTATTTTCACAACTATATCAGCCATTAGTGCCACCATTATAGTTATTATCTGTTTGAGTTCTCCTATGTCCTAGGTGTTGCATTTAAGTCATGCTAGTATCAACCACCAAAACTTGAGAGTCAAGCCAATGCTCAATATCTCCAATGCATTCCTCGAACCAAACAGTTTCAGGGTAATTCTCTGATATATCATTCAGCTAGGATACAAATGTTTAAATAATACAGACATTGTGACCCTCAAAAGGTAAAGGAGAGCCGCGTGTGAAAGAGGCAAAGGAAATAGAATATTCTATATATTGAAAGAATCACAGAAAAACAAATGAAGCCAACCTTCGATATAGAGTATTATGACTATAATGCCATCATACTATAAGCCATATCTCATAACTATGTCTTTGGCACCATACCAACCTCACTTTGATACCATAATGACAGTAGAAAACAGAAAATGTGTGAATTCATCAACACACACGACTCGGAAAGTGAGATAAATATAATGAGCTGTATCCAAAACACCCTTCTAGTCCGCAAATAGAAAATGTTATGTCTATTTATAAAACTACAATTTCAACATGGAAAAAAGATAAACTCAAAACTATCTCAGCAAATCAGGGATTTGGCATTAGATCCTTAGGACCATGTCCATCTATTGTAGTCCAAGCTCTGTAAATCTAGATCACAATCTTAAAATTATACTGTGGCAGGAAGGAGCTCATCAATCCAGACAGTTGTGCCACTTACACATTGACTTCAAAAAGGCGAAAGCTGCTATCAGCTCCAGCAATGCACAAGACCAGTGGGTCATTCTTATCAGTTCGCAAGGGCAACCAATCAAGTTCCAGTACAAGAGTTCCAGGAGACTGAGGTTGCAGCAGTGAGTTGGCTAAGGGGTCTGGTGAATCCTGAAAAATGCATGTATAAAATATAATCATCAAAGAAAGAAACTATCTCAAAGGAGTGAGGTACACACAATATATTGGAAAATATGTCTTTTCCTCCATTTCAATTTCAGAATGAACTGACAAATAGGATTAGAGAAGCCCTTTAATATCTAAAGAGACCAGAACCCTTTTATTCAAAATCAAAATCTTGTGTTTCTTCAAAAAGGGAAATTATTACCAACTAGGAGAGGAACAATTGAAATATGTAGAGAAGTAAAAGGATTCCACGAGAGAGACTGAAAGGAAACAAAGGAATGAAATAAATTATAGAAAAATAAACAGTTCCCTACGTTTAAAGCTGTCCATCACCAGTTAAAACCAAAATTTAATGTTTTTTCATGTTTCTAAATTATTCATCACAAGCTGCACAAATGTGTAGAAATCATTAAAAAGCATAAGAATAATGAAAATGTACATACAATAAAAGAAAAGTCAGAAACATTGCATACCAAGTCAAATACAGAGAAGGTATTGTCATAAAACAGAACAGCTATACGCCCCCGACTATGGTCTCCTGGTACAACAGGAGAGAATTTGATACGGCGGATTCCATCTCTATGAGTGTTGAAATAGGAAGACTGTCCTGTTGTCACATCCCACCATCTTATGTTTCCCATCCTGTCCCCCATAACCTGAAATGTTAAATTAGTCAATACCATCATAAAATGTACAGCAAACTCATAATATCTATGTACTGAAATCGAACTAACTATAAGAATGTGAAGTATATACCACATGAGGTAAGCGATAGGCCATTGCAGTAATTAATCCGTCCGAGGATATGAATGAAGAAGAAGGCCATTTTGGTCTGCAGTCAAGTAGATACTCTTAACAAGACTTAAAAAACAGGGGGGGAAAAAGGTGAAAAAAGGAAGAGCGATGAGCAACAAAAAAAAGACAAATTGCCTGCGGACCATAGTTGCAGACTCAATTCAGTTTTCTGACATAAGGTCAAAATGAACAACAGTATTAGTACTTGAAAATTTAGTCAGTAGTTCAATGTTGAACATATTCTGTTCCACAACCTATGATCTAGAAATGGATAGTGAAGCATGTAAGGCTGAGCAAGGAATGGAATTATGGTAGAATTTGTATGGTAAATTGAGGATCAATCTTCACGTGCTCTGTCCTAGGATGATGAGTAGGACTCCTAAATTTTCTAGCCGTAGCTACCTTATCACAAAAACTTTCACGGGTAAGTCAACAGCTAATTTAATCTCCTTGGAAAATCTCATCAACCAAATTTCTTCAGAAGTTAAAAAGGTTAAGAGCACAAAACTTTTTCAGCATTGCTCCTTGCAAAACTTGATTGTCTCTTGCTTTTCCATATTAAGGAATAAGTCGTTATGTAATTATGTTGGCTATACTGTTATAGTCTGTTGTGTTATATTGTTATAACAGACTAGCACTGGTATTGTTCTTTATAAATATTACGTCCTATGATTCTCTCATCTCTCTGCTATCAGTATCATTCTACTTGGTCTCTAAATTCATTCTGCTATTATAGCATAGCGTATCCAATTGAAGAATCTCGATCATACCATCAGGTGCTCAACTCACATTTTCTCCCATCCTAGTGAAACTCAATGGGAAGAATTACGCCACCAAGAAATATCTAGTGCTCGCAACAGTGAGAGTGCATGATGTTGAGGATTTCCTCAAGGGGTCATACTCCACAAAGTAACACAAAACATGTTGAAATTGACAGATATTTCATCAAGGAAAAGATTGAATGTCGACTCATGTGCTTAATATATGTTCCACCAAGGAAGCAAGTTGCTCATGTTCCCACCAAGGGACTTCTAAGAGAGAATTGTGATGTGCATATGCAAGTTGGAAATATCTGTCATTGTAAGGTTTATCAGCATTTATTAGGCTTGCTAATTAGTTTTCACTCCTTTGTCTTCCCCCTTGCATATATATATAATGTACTTTATAATTCAAAATTAATGAAAATACATTTTCTCTCAAAATACATCATAGACTTGTTCTTTGTGCGAGAGAAGTTGATCAACATATTTCCAGTCATGATCAGGTAGTAGACATTCTCATGAAGCCAATTACCAACATCAGTTTTGCTACTTTCAGAACTAAGCTCAATCTTTTAGAACATCCTGACCACATCGAGAAGAGCACAGTTCAAATGGGAGAAATGAAGAATTTAGTAAGAAAGAGGCCTAGATAAAAAATGAGGGATCGTGTTAGGGAGCAAGTCGTTAAGTTGGTTGTATTATTATAAAATAGAAGCTCCAGTAGTTTGCCTATATATTCCCTGTACCCACTCTCAGAATAATCAATAAAGATTACTTCAAGTAATTCTATCACTACGCTCTGTATCTTTCTGTTTGTTCTCTGATTTCATCAATCAGATAACCATGCTCCGCCATAAAAAGGTGTAGTAAAACATTCAAGATCTTCCATCAGTCACATATCTCATAAACCAAAACTCTCACAGGCAAGTCAAAATCTAAGTTCCATAAGAAGTCACATCAAGGAAACTCCTTAACGAATTCCAAGAGCTAGTACACGGAACTCTGCTTCAACATTGCTCCTATCAACAATTAGTTGTTTCCTTCCTCTCCAAATTCGTGTCGAGAATCTTCTACCAATTACAAAAGGTTACTTCTATTGAATCTTATATCAATCACATATCTTGCCCAATCAGCATCTAAAAAAATTTAAATACGTCTAGGAGTGCTCCTTCTAAAGAATAGCCCCACTCCCGGAGTCACTTAGTCGCAGAAAATATAATATACAATTTCCAAGTGCCCCTCTTTTTGCTGGTTTAGGAACTAGCTATACTGACAAGAAAAATGATGCCTAGATGAGTGTGAGATATAGGAAAATCAACTCAGAGCTCCAACCAAATCAGAAAGATATGCTTATTTGCAATCGTAGTCCTCCATTGGGCACAAACATGAATTCCTAGTATTCAAAAAGGCCCATTTCAAATTTAGCAGACAATTTTGATTTGAGAGGTACAGTGAGTAATTTGTAGGTGAAGAGGTTTCAAGTGGAAGAAACAGAAAAGTGCAACCTATGATGTCCTAAGCAAACCCTTTTAACCATCCATAGTCAACAATTTATTTTTCTAAAACTAGGCCAGCAGGGCCCTTTCATATACATCTTTTTGTATTTAAACATGCCTCCTCTGACTTTTAACGAATTCTAAATTATCAAGGAAAAAGTAGGAAGGCACCAATAGTAACCAATTATTTAAGATAGCTAGGCATCATTAAAGACAACTTGATAGCATATAACTACTGAAAGTAGATTAACATATACAAATGCCTTGCAAAGTCCTAGACAAGATCATTACAAATTTAGCCATCCATGTATAACAAAGAACAACAAAGCACGACGTTTTTGGTCAATGAAAAAGAGGGAATACCTGAAATCTCGAATTCTTCGTCCTTGAACTTCAAAAACTCCAAGTGCCCCATTCACCAAGGCAAACGCAAAACTCTCTGAAGAGTCATCATGATGTCCCTCAGCGCCTGAATCCTCTGCTCAGACAAATTAGCATTAGGCAAACTAATTCTAGAGTAGCTTCTATCCTAAGGATATTTAAGTTGACCAACATACTAACTTGAATCTGATGAGGGCAACTTTGTTGGGATGGATGCCTCATCTGCTTTTTGCTCCTTAGAAGATGAGGACAATTGCCTAGCAGATGCATTTTGAACAGGACGAGGAATTGTTGGAAGAGTCCATTCCAACACAGTAAATGGAAGAGCTAATGATCTAAGCTACATAGGAAAACAAGGAATTATAAATATCTTGAGGACAACAGAATATACAAGTACAACAATTATATGGAAGACATTAAAAATAGTTTGCCAAAAAAGAAGAAAATCAGGACCAATCGTATAACACTTGAAAGTGAGAGCAATAATGTTGGGAGAGACAAATGATGATAAAGCTGTTTACAGGAAGCCAATAATAAGAAAATAAATAAATAAGCAGCAAATATATATACTTTCGAATGAAATTCCAAAATGCACTTGATAAATAGCTGGACTTTCCTATGCCTAGAATGAGTTTTCCACAATTTCATTTCCCCTAGTATTTTCCTCCTGATCTTCATCATTCCTAACTGGCTGGAAAAAGCACTTTCCAGAGTTTTATTGCAGTAGAATAATTCACCCTGGAGTGTTAAGATAAGGGCACTTCTACAACTTATGATAAGTAAAACAGCATCCAGCTCTCCGATAGATCCAGAATAACAAAGTTGACCAAGTATACCAGCTTGGTTGGTTGAATCTGATGTGACATTTTGCAAATTGAGGTTTAACTTCACGTTATTGTTTAGAATTTTGACGGTATTCATGTCTCCAATTCAATTACGACTGCTCTTCAATATCTTAGACTTGATACTGTTGTTGCTCTTCAAAATCTTCAATACCGTCATAGTGAAAGTTTGATGGGCAAGTGAAACATTCCACTAAGATATTATGAGATTGTCATGCAATGACTTCCATTATTGCATCATGATGCCAAAGATACCTGAAGGATTCAAGGCACAGGGAAACAGTACCTCTGTTCATTATTAATCCTCAAATGAAACCATGTACAGAATGATATACATAAGCAAACTTAAACTAATTCTAGTATCATAAAATTAATCCTAATGAAAGTTCAGCTTCTTGGTGAAAGCTAAAGATAGGGATCGCAAGTCTAGATCTATAGTGAATGCCTTTGAAGCAGACCTCCGATGGGTGCCTCCATGGATCCTGATGTCACAGTTTGGCTCAAGATGGTGGCTTCCTCTCCATACACTTGAAAGGAGGATGGAGAAGTATGATTCGAAGGGTAGGAATTGGGGATTCTCCTTGAGCAAAGGATTTCAGTGATGAGGAATTTTGGAGTCATGGGTTATAAGCTTTGGGCATCGTTCAAGTTTCTGAGTTTTTCTACTTATTTTATTTTGGCGTTGAGATGTGAGGCTATTATTACGGTTATTATGACTAGTTTCAGTTCTGGTTTATCTCTGTTGTGTAATTCTAAATGCCTTCAAGGGTTGAGAGTTTGTGTCTTGGCTAAGTGCATCCTGTGAGCCTATAAACCTTGACTTTGGTGTTCATGATTCAGTAGAATTGGGCAGAAGACTGTAAGGTGGGAAAGAACTGGAATAGTTGGCTTAAACTCTAATAGCCCTGCTATTGAGGTCTCTAAAAGAAGTTGTAACTGATTTGAGTTTGTTGTTTGCCATTTTTCTCCTACTGAGGGGAGTGAGACTGGATTTTGCGTCGCTCGATTTTCTCATATTTGGTTTTCAGACGGTCTTTCACAGATCATCTTCTTTGATGTGGATAGGCTCTTGCTTGTTCAGTTTGTTCAACGTCACTGTTCATTTATTGGCTGGGGCTGTGTACCCCTCCTTAAGGATTTTATCTCTTCAAGAAAATTTTTCAAAAATCATTCTCTTGAGTGGATTCCCAAAGAAGCATATTTAGTAGATGTTGGAGTTGCTAAAGCTTCAGTGAATGGGTCTTACCCTTCAATTTGGGTGTTGCGACCGTTATTTGACCGTTATTTCAGGAGCAATGGTAATTGCTGGATACTGCGTTGCTTGTTGGGCTAACTTGTGTCGCTTTGATTTTCTTGTCTTTGTTTCTAGTTACTTTCTATGTTTTGTTTATGGGTGGGTTTGTTTTATTTTGGAGCTTTGTTAAAACTCTTGTACCTAACCTGTCTTAGTACTGCATATTTGTTGGCAAAAACAAACACCTAAAACTATTTTTTCAAATATATTCAGTATCCTAAAATATTTTGCAGTACAAGTTTACCCTTGAAGTATTTTTTCAAGAGCAATTTTGCCCTGCCGTTAACTCCCCAAAAGGTTCACATTCAGTACCCTAAAATATTTTTTTAACACTGAACACCCTAAAATAATTTTTTGGAGCAATTTTGCCAATAAAGTATTTTCTAGGTTTTTTTTTTCCCACTCTTTTTTTATATGGTCAGTATTCATCCATATTCTTCATACTCATCTTTAACATTTTCACTAATCAATTTTTCAATTTTTTCAGTAGTCATCTTAAATATTTCTAAACTTATCTTCCATAGTTTCAACCCTAAACTTTAATTATTTTTAGTATTCAGTATAAGTTGAGTAAAATCTTTTCAATTTTACAATAGTATATGCAGAGTAGCGAAGGCAGAGAAAAGGAAAATCTAAAGGCTGGGAGCAACAAGGGCGCCACGCTAAACGTGGCTTCGCATTCTGAAAGTAACAGCAGCAACCGCGGGTCTCAGCATATGTCAGAATCGGAGCTTAATCGACGAAGGCAGCTGGGTCTATGCTTTAAGTGTGACGAAAAGTATAGCCTAACCCACCAATGCAAAGGCAAGCAACTGAGTCTGCTTCTATACAGTGAAGGGAAAGACGGCGAGATTAATGAAGAGGATTTTGAGGAGCTAGAAGAGGACTCAGAAGGGAGGGAGATGACTTTGATGGAACTCTCGCAGGCTACTATGGTGGGCCTCAACAATCACCGAACTATGAAGGTGAGGGGTATGCTTAAAGGGAGACCGGTGGTTATCCTCATTGACAGTGGTGCTACCCACAATTTCGTTGCCCATCGCGTGGTGACTTAGATGGAACTAAATGTTACCCCCACTCATTGGTATTCGGTCACAGTAGGGGATGGGCAAAAGATGTACACCCGGGGTGAGTGTAAGGATGTGAAAGTTGACTTGCAAGGGCTAGTAATTAAGCAGACCTTTTATCTCTTTCCTCTCTCTAATATCAATCTGGTCCTGGGCATTGCGTGGTTGGAAACTTTAGGGGAGATACGAGTAAATTGGAGCCAGCTATATATGAAGGTGCAGAGAAATCGAACTTGGATCTCATTACATGGGGATCCGGCCTCAATCAAAGCCCAAGCTTCATATAGAGCAATCAAGAAGGCTCTAAAGTAAAGGGGCTGGGTTCGTGCTAGAAGTACAAAAGCTAGAAGTTGAACCCGCAAACGGGGATAACCGAGCCGAACAGGTTCCTCACCAGGTTCAAGGCTTGCTACGTGAGTTTCAATCTATGTGCGAACCCCGAAAGTCGCTACCTCCACGCAGGGGACGAGACCATGCCATCAGAATAAAAGAAGGAGCACAGCCGCCCAACGTCTGCCCTTATCAATATGCCTATGGGCATAAGACGGAGATCGAAAAACTGGTCAAGGAAATAATTGAGGCTGGAATCATTCGACCCAGCAATAGCCCCTATTCCAGTCCAGTTCTGCTGGTTAAGAAAAAAGACGGGAGCTGGAGATTCTGTGTAGACTACAAAGCACTCAACAAGGTCACCATTCCAGATAAGTACCCCATACCCGCTATAGATGAATTACCTGATGAATTGGGAGGAGCTACCATTTTCTCTAAGTTGGATCTTAAATCTGGGTATCACCAAATCAGAATTAAGCAAGGAGACGAGCATAAAACTGCTTTTAGAACACACAATGGTCATTATGAGTTCTTAGTCATGCCTTTTGGATTTACAAATGCACCCTCTACTTTTCAGTCTTTAATGAATGACATTTTCAGGGAACACCTAAGGAAATTCATACTGGTCTTCTTTGACGACATCCTTGTGTATAGTAAGGATGAGAAATCGCACCTGGAGCATTTAGGAGAGGTTCTAAGAATATTGCAGCAGCATGAGTTAGTCATCAATCCCAAGAAGTGTAGTTTTGGGCGGCGCGAGTTAGAGTATCTTGGCCACATCATATCAACTTGTTGGTTAGTGGGCCGTGGGCCTAAAACCCTAATTTAATATGTTTCTCTTGTTAACCTAGGTTACTAAGGCTGCCGTTAGGTTTAGCATTAAATCTGTTAGATATTATTCTGATTTCCTCTTTGAACCTGATTGTATCCTAGAATCTCGGTCTATCCCTAAAAGACCGCAGTCTTCTCTCTCTCTACACGGTCCCTATGTATCTATATATATTGCTGCCTACTCTGAATAAAATACAATCTACATTCATCACAAATTCACACATGGTATCAGAGCCACCATGATCAGATTTGGTATGGGCTTCTCTGAAGATAGCCCTAGCAACCAGATGGCGCCAAATCTCAACACGACGGGACTTACAGCCACAGCGTCGACCAATGCGCAGGGGAGTTCTGAATCAAGCTCAATATCAATCACCATTCATCGCTTGAATGGACAGAATTATTTCCAATGGTCCTCAAGCGTTCGACTATATGTGATGGGGAAGGGAAAATACGGTTATTTAACCGGAGCGGAAAAGAAACCAGATACTGGTAATGAGAAATATGCCACTTGGGAAGCCGAGAATTCAATGGTGCAGGCTTGGTTAGTCAACTCAATGACTACAGAAATCAGTGCACAATTTGCCTTCTTCCAATCTGCCAAAGAGGTATGGGACGCTACAAGGGACATGTTTGCCTCTCTCAAAAACAAGGCTGCAGTCCTGGAGATTGAACGATTCCTTCATGACTTCAAAAAGGGAAACTTGTCTGTCACGAAATACTACACTGATCTATTCGTTCAATGGCAGCAATTAGACATGTACGAATCACATGAGTGGACGTGTCCAGAAGATGCTGCTAGGTATGCAAAGATAAAGGAAGAAAAACGGATTTTCAAATTTCTCCTTGGTCTAGATGCTCCTTTTGAAGATGTGAGGGGAAGAATAATGAGCATGGACCCCTTGCCATCATTACGTGAAGTATTCTTCACAGTAAGAAACGAGGAGTGCAGAAAGAAGTTGACCTCTGATGATAC